TGTGTGTGTGTGTGTGTAGGACCAGCGACCTGGGCCATGGCGACCTCTAAACCAGATATCTTAATGGTTCTGCTGAGTAAATTGATGCAAGAGGGAGACAGACTGTACAAGGTAACACACGCAGGCACAGGCAAACTCAATCACACACAAAAATACACATTTTAACCAGACCCACGCACATTTTTTTAATATTCTAATTATTGTGTGTATGTGTGTGTGTGTGTGTGTGTGTGATTTTGTAGCAAGGTAAAGTGAGGGAAGCTGCTCATTCCTATCAGTCAGCTCTCCAGAAGTTTCCAGGGGATGAGCTGAAGACGTTCAGACAGCTGAGAGTATGTGTGCTGCTCAACCTGTCACGCTGCCACCGCAAGATGAATGTGAGTCTCTCTCTTTCCAACACACACACACACACACAGGTACACATTGGAGACAAATCACAACATAATTTGTAATCCATGGTCTTTATAATTGCATTGTAACCTATGATGTGCTTTAGTTTCATGCCAAGAAAGAATGTTTTTCATTTTATTTTGAAATGAGTTTCTGAAAATCTTATGTCCCCATCGTACCATCATAAATCATTTTATATGCTTGCAGGATTTTGGCCTTGCTGAGGAGTTTGCTACCAAGGCGCTAGAGCTGAAAGCTAAATCCTACGAAGCTTTTTACGCCCGAGCCCGTGCCAAACGCAGCCGCAGGTAACTATAGCAACCTAAGAATAAATGGTTGACTTAAACAAATGTATTATTGATTAGTCTAGAAGGCAGGTCTCTTTTATTAATGTCCAGCTGAAAGTCATCAAGGTAGAAGGCTCCATGCTTCCAGCATTCTCTGTGTTAAAATCATTAAAGTGGCTGCAAAGAAAATTCATTTTGTGTTGATTCTGGCGGCCCCCCAGATGAGCAACAAGGCAGGGTGCAGCTTATATTTCTAGAGAGAAGCATCACACTAAATCTTGTATGGAGCAAAACATTGCAGCACCTGTCTGTTGTGACCACACCCAAGTGTGATGTAGCATTGTCTTATAGTCACAGACAGAACTTGTAGTAGCTAAATGGCAGAGCTAAAAGCAGTCCCTCCGTGAAATTGCAATGTTGCGATCGCAACAGTTAATGCAAATTTTAACAAATTCCTGTGCAACCTTGCAATTTTAGCCAGTCACTGCAACTGTTCCAAAACCCCCCCCCAAAAAAATGTCACTTTCTCCTGCAAATTTATATAAAAACATCGCAACTTGCTTCACAATTTCTTAGGAGATTTGCCGTGAAACCAACTGGTAGGAGTGTTGGACTGAAGACTGAGTTGGGAACATTGACAGGATGAGGGAATGTATCAGAAACTTGACAAATTCTTGTATTACTTTTTGTTTCTGAGTTTGTGCCCCTAGACTTCTCTGCATCAGTTATTGCAACACTCTCCCTTCACATCACTGTCTTTGCCTTCGCTCTCTGTCACCAATCAGACAGTTCCATGCCGCCCTGGAGGACCTGATTGAGGCCAGCCGCCTGTGCCCATCCAACCGGGAGATCCAGCGCCTGCTGTCCCGGGTTAAGGAAGAGTGTCGGCAGGCTGCACAGCAACAAGACTCTCCCCCTCCTTCATCACATCATGTCTATCAGCAAAATGTGTCCATCAACGAGGCGAGGAGCAGAGATTCAGGTTGTCTGCAGGTGCAGGACAGGGAGGGGCTTACAGAGGAGGAGGAGGAAGAGGAGGAAGAAGAGAGTTACAGAGAAGGAGACGCTCTTCCTCACTCCTCCTCCTTCCACCCTCCACCTGTGGTTCAAAGTCTTGACACCCACTGCCGCCCTGGAGGGCCATCACCCTCTTCGCTCTCCCCCACTCACCTTTATCATCACCTCACCAGCCCCGCCCACTCCCCCTCCTCCTCTTCTCCCTGTCACTCGGCGCCTCCTCCCCCGTCCTCCTCCTACCGCCACTTCAGCCCGCCTCCCTCCCCGATGCAGCATCAGCAGCGAGCCAGCCCAATGTCGGAAAGTATGCCTGCATTGTCAGGTAATGGAGGTCTGCACCACTATCCGCAGTCCATCTCAGCCCACCATCCGCAGTCCATCTCAGGTCTCCACCACTCAGACCAGAACCAGGGAGTGCAGCAGCACCACCATCTGCCCAATCAAAGATCCTTCCAGAAGCAGAGCCCTGTTCAAGGCCAGTGGCTCCAACCAGCCAAAGTCCAGGTTGTCAGAACCAGTCAGCCCAGTTCCTCAGCCCACTCCAGCATGATTTTGGGAAGTTCTGCTTACTCCCAGTTTGGCCAGCTACCCCAAGAACTGGCTGAGCTGGGGGAAGGCATTTGCCCAAACCCCCTAGATATCAGGCCTAGTCTGCAGGTCCAGGCTAGTCTGAGCTCTGGAGTTTCATATCGAGATGATGTGGATGTTGATTATGTTGATTATGCAAGACCTGCATCTGCCTATGTAAGAGAAGGAGGAGGGGAGAGGGCGGGGATTAATCGATTTGGCCAGGCCCGTCAGTTAAGCCGGAACCAGTCCAAAGCAGCCTACTATCCCATGGAAGTTACTGAGGCGACAATAGGACCTCCTGATAGCCTTCAATCATCACACGATTATCAATACCACCACCAGGGGGGACTGCGGCGCCCACTCAGTGCCCACCCAACTTCCGCCCCAGCTCCTCCCCCGAGGCCTCTTGTCCACTCCCAGAGTATCAGCGTCCGTTTCTCCACCAGCAGCGGCAGCCTGGCTGGTGGGCGGCCCGTTAATCATGGCCCAGCCTTCAGGACCTCTACCTCCGCCCAGCAGATGGATTTACCATCAGATCTGGCCTCTGTTGGAGAGGTTTCTGGTTACCATGACGATCTCTTTCTTATCTCCTCCCCTCAGTCTGAAACGTGCATGGTAGGAGGCGGGACTTACCCTGGAGAGGCTGGCCGTTTATGCCGGAACACTCCTTTTATGGGCGTTGTTGACAGGACCGCGAGGGTGCACCAGCAGTATCAACAAGCCCCTTCCAGTTCTGCGTCCTGTCTCAGCCCTTCTCGATCCTGGGCCGTGTCTTCAGTGGACACGGTCGTCACTTCGCCGAGCAAAAACCCCACCAATCAAGGCTTCGGGCAACTCCAGCCATCGTCTATCGCCTATCACAACCGCAGCAACAACAATGCACACAATGGTCACCTGCTCCATGACAACCAGCGCGACTACTACGAGGTGGTGCCGGGCAGCGGCCATCAGAGTGAAGGCTCGGTGCAGGTTGCCAGTCAGAATCCCTCTTACCTGGATGTGAAGCTGGCTCGAACGCTGCCAGTGCTCCAGAGTGACAGACAGACAGGACCTACCTCTCCTGTCAAACCAAAAAGACCCTTTGTAGAGTCCAATGTGTAGAGAAGAGCTTAAATGTTAAGTCAGAGACAAGGGAAGAGTTTAAATGAAGAGTGGTTAAAAAGAAACGAGTGCACTTCAGTTAGGCTTTGGAATTGTTAAGGCCTGGCTATGCTTGAAACTGACTACTTTGTACGACTCTTAGTCCGTACAACATTCAGAGGGGCGAGACGCAATAATTGTTGAAATGGGGACAACAGCACACACTTTCAGTCTTTCTTAGAAAGTGAGTACAAGAGAGCTTGAGAGAGAAGTTCCTGCCTACCTGGCCCGTCGCTGCATGGAGTGGGCATGCTTGCAGGATCGTAGGTTTCGGAAAAAGAAGCAATTCCTTTGAAGCATACGGATTCCTTTATTGTTCAGAAGAGATCTGGGAAGGTAGAAATTAAACATATAGGTGGGCTATGGAACATATTGCCTGTTACAGGTCAGGTCCGACAACTAACCAGCCCGATACAAAGCAACGAAACAAGGACGAAGGGAATGAGCGAAGGACATGAGATCGCTCCTTCCATTAGAAAGCACAATGAGGACGAGAAAGAGTTGGGGAAATCAGAGACATCAAGAAAGACACCAGGTAGCACTTTCTTCCTTTCCTCCCTGTTCATCTCTGGCTTACAGGACATTTCAAAACTGAAGTCTCACTGAACGCCCATAATGCACTGCTCTAGAGTTTTTCTGCCAAGTTCACTTACGCAACTCTAGACGGTGACATTCAGTCGGACAAGAGAGACACATAAGCACCACTATCACCTTCGTCTGCTGCTGACGCCTTTAAAGAAGATTTTCCTTTCAAGTTCGAAGCGCTTAAATGATACAACGACTGGAAACCTGCACAGTCACTGCAAGATCCAGGCCCAAAACTTGTGCCAGTCAGATGCTGGTCAGTGACCAGGTCCCAAGCCATAGTTTGAGAAACTAGGATAATGCTGTCATTGAAAAAGCACTGACTTGTTGTACATACAAACAAAAATATGTGATATTTATCTTTTTTAAGTTATATCTGTATTAAACTGTATAAATATTGTTTCTCTTAAAGCTGTATATTCCTTTTGGATTTGCCTTTATATGTTTATTTGAGGGTTTTTCACACAGGACATGGGAATGGAAACCAGCTTTCAAAAAAGGAGAGCGAAGTCTCTCTTCCTGCGTGTGTGTGGTGTCATCCATCTGCAATGAACATCCTATAAAAAGGCCTTTAAGACTTTTGGATTTGTTTTTTCTTTTGTTTTTTGGTTTAGGTAGTTATTTTTGTTTTTTCTATGAAGGTCTTTTGTATTACATAGTCCTGAAAGTCCTAATTTATGCAAACCACAAGGATCCCAACTGATACACCAGGGACCCTTACATTGCCATGGAAACATAGTGATTACATGCCCCATGAGTTGGTGATTGGCTCCTTCTACTCTCAGTAACCCCTCCCCCAAAAACAGCGATTGTCCAATCATCGCTTAGCAACCGTAACTAAGCACAGCATGGCCTGTCAAGCTCTGTATTTTTATAGTTCTGCATTTGGTGTATTTTTATTCCTAGCCTTTCCAAAACCAAGCAAGTGCAAGTGTAAGGAATGGATTTAACCTGGTTTATCTTCTCCAACCTGAGCTGCAATCATCACCGTGCCTGGCTAATTAGCTTAATACAGTAGTAATTGAGCGTTACATCCTAGGCACTTTATTAACCAACTACATTAGTTTGTAGGGTTGCAGGTTATGTAACAAAGCCCAGTCACCACTAGCATCTCCATTGTGTAGCATTTAGCCACTGTTTGAAGGCTCTGTGATTATAGCTTGAGTTCAGGTCTTCAAAGTTTAGATCTTAAAATAATGATTAATGCTTTAAAAATAACGATTTCATTTAGTTTAACAGAAATGAATGGATTGCTGATATAAAGGCCAATTATGTTTGTTTTTTAAGTTTTCTTACACCCCTTTAAATCAAGAAGGCCACCCACATAAAACCCCAATATTTGCTGTGTGAGAATGGAGAGCTTGACAGGCGCAGCGACAATAACAAGGGGAGGGGGTTAGTGTGACTAACAAGAGGTGGGACTAAGCGTTAAACTTTTTAAAGCGTATTTTATGCACACAAATGCCTGATTTTTGTACATTTCTTTTTGTTTCTAATAAATCAGCCTGGTTTCAGACACGCTGATGCTGATAGAACCTATGACCTCTGACCTCTCTGTCACGGTAAAGTCTCTGTGACCACTGCCCTTATTTCTTACTGCTCAGGAGTTTCCAGCTGTGAGAAGACGTGGTAATGCGTAACCACTCTGGTTCACGAGCCGTTTTCACGGTCAGACTGCTGGGTATGGTATGTAAGTCTGGCCACTTAGAAGGATGAAGTACATTATTAGCAAGTTAATTGGATGTCCAAGAGTTTCACATGATTAAAAGGATAGTCATAGTACATCAGTGTTAGCTTTAAATTCTTGATGAGCTGGATGACAGATGTGTTGTCTGCCAATAAAACAATGTGTTGTGCTGTACATGTAGGATGTAACCCCCAACCTGCTTAGGGGTCCCGAGCTCACATGTAATCGAGCATTACTGTGTGCGTGTGTTCCCCGTCAGTGGGTTTACTGTGGGCTTTTTCACTCTGTGTAACATAGGTTAATATTTAAAACCCAGGATGGTTCTAACAGTAAGAAGAAGATTTAAACATTTAAAACGACATGAATGTGTCAGCTCGTGAAATTACTGACTGCTGAATTAACATGACAAAGGGAATAAAGCTGAATTAAAGACAGGTCTGTATATCTCTCTCTCTTTCTGTCTCTCTTTGGGTGTTAAGGTACATGTCCACAGGGGTGTTTTTGGACGCAGGAGGTATTGAATGCTTGAAGTCCAAAAAAGCTACACCCTTGTACAACGGCTGCAAACATTTCTGGCTGCATCTAAATTGTTCCTAGATTTCAGAATGGACCAACATGGCGGCTCGGCTGTGTTTCTGAGAACACTTTAGTTGAGAAATATGCCACGCAGTTGCTAAATCTGTCTTTATATTAGATTAGATAGAACGGTTAGTTTAAACATTTTACATGAGGTTCCAGAGGCAGTGAGTCACGCTGCCGACGTCCCTGATTTGCATAAAGTAGCCTACTACTCTACTTCATGCAAATGAGGAGCAGGCTCTGTGTAGGCTCATGACGCTCTGTCCCTCAAAACGCACCGTGGCACTACCAGAATGCATTGCACGGCTGCTCACATGGACATTGACTGATGCTGTGGACACGTACCTTTAGGGGATTGACCCAGGGAGCTGTTTGACATAATCTTTTATTAATGTACTAATTGGCAATACAGCTTAAAGCTGCATACATGTTATATGTTTATTTATCTGTCATGTTTCTGGCCCTCAAATTTACAAATCTTATGACGAAGTTAAGACCCGCCCTACTCTGCCTCTTATTGGCCACGCCTGATGCAGCTTTCACGTCTCAAATTATATCAGAATTGGTGTAAGGTGTAAGGTGTAAAACACAACCAGACAAACTGCCATTTCACACATTTTTATTTCAGGTTGTCCCAATGAGATTAAGACTGCCCTTTAAAAGATGACAATATCAAAGACAAACAACATCGGTAAAAGCTTTGTATTAGGCACTAGTGAGAAGTCCTGAAGTCAATCCAATAAAACCCCAAAAACTATGTTTTTAATTAGATTAAACACATTCAAAGAGGAATTTAACAGCTTTAGGTAAAAATGCATCAAACAACTAAATGACAATACATACATCACTGAATAAACACTGAACAGATTTTTTTAATGACAGTCCATTTAAATACAGACAGCATACTAATGGTATAATGGAATACATTTTGTTTATGCATTATGTTTTATGGACAAACTACTGACTGGGCTTCTCACCACATGGGACTGGGACAGGTATAGATACTGTGGAACATTAAATAAAAGGACAGACTTAATTAGAACCCAATTAATAGTGTTGTGACATACAAAAGCAGTGCGTCAAATTATTTTCACAAAAGCTAAACCTTTTCTAAAAGTTTAAATTACAACTTATACCACTTCCAAAAATCTATTTTTAATGTATTTTTTATTATGCTCAGTGGTTAATCCACAATAGTGAAAATCAAGATGGCAGATATATGTAATATAGGTGGTTCCTAATAGAATGTGTAGATTAAGAGATGATCAAATGTGAGTACAGTTTGTCATCAGTTTGACTTTTGGTGTGTTACAAAGCTAAGACTATCTAAATCCTTGAATATTCCGTATCTGCCAGTAGTCCAATCAGATTTAACTCAATGACACAGCTGCCCAGTGTACATTCAAGCAACAACTTAATTCAACCGGAAAAGTTCAGAGGAGATTTGTGCGTGATATATGCTCAATATACATACATTACAAATAATTATATACATAGCAGCAGCAAATATGCAATTTTGATAAGACACATATCCAATACATTGAAATAACAGGTGTAGACTACAACTTCTAAAATTGTCACTTCTTATTTTTTCTTCTTGGTCCAAATACTGAAGGTCCTAGATTAAAGCTGCAGCAGGTAACTTTTATAAAAATAACTTTTTGTGGTACTTGATACAATTTTCACTGTGTCCTGAGAGTCGTACATAATAATAATAAAATGGCTCCTCCTAGTGCTCCTAATGGCATTTGCAAGAATCTAATAGGCATGGATGACAACAACCAATCAGAGCAAAGAAAGATAATTGATGTGATTTTTTCATAGATTATCTGTCTCATGTACTATTGTCATAATACAGTGAAAGTTTCAACAAAGATTACAAAAATATTTTTATAAAAATGACATACTGCAGCTTCAATACTATTAAATTGTTAACCTTTCAGTGTTGTATGAATGAACTTGGAGAATGCGAGCCCTGACTCGATCAGTCAACAGAGTGATGCATCTTTACTAGAGCAGATGTATCACTCTATGCATTTTGTTGGAACTACTAAAACATTCCCTGTGATAACAGATTTGTAGCTGTCCAAAGTTAGAGAAACTGTATTTTGCCAATCCATGTTTAAGAACTCAGAATCACTCACTGTCTGTACTAACAGTACGGCCAAATAATTGTTCAAACATTCACACACTTTGCAACACTAGCAGGCTGAGGTGGACTAAACACAATACAGTGTGTACACAGTAAAGACAGGATCATACTTTGATGGGTTTTATGTAAGCTGGTACCAGTCCCAGACATCAACTAAAGACATTTCTACTGCTGGCCAGTAAAGACTAACAAAAGTTTTGGTGAGTTTTATTTTGTATCTGTTGAGTTTGAATTAAGTGTCACAACGTTACAAAGTAAAATCACTGTTTTTGTCAATAGAGTCTGGTGGCGTTGAACAGAGTGATATAACTGCTGCTGGCCAAGCAAAACGGATCTTACTCTTTCAGAAAAAGGTCTATCTCTGTAGGGATCCTTTTCATAATGTTGTCAGACACTTATAATGACAATTATTTTCCTTTTACTGCAATGCGTATTTTTCACTTATATCTTATATGCATTTTTAATTAATTGTCAAAATAAAAGCATAACTTCCAATAAATAATTTTGGTGTGATACTAGAGATATCATTAACGCTTTCTGTCCATCATTTGATGTACAAACCTAAACTTTTGAAAACTAGACATTAACAGAGACTGGTAGCACAGCTAGTGTGTTGGCAGGGCACTGGCCCAATGAGGCGGAGGTTTCACACGTCTCACTGAGGTCAGGGCGTGGTGGGTGACCCCCCCTCGGTCAGGGTCTTAAAGTGAACAGACAGAGACTCTTCCTCAGGGTTTGGTGGACGTCTGTACTCTTCCTTGGTGATCAAGTAGCCTAGCACCACCCCGAAACACACCAACAGGATCCCCAAGATGTTGGCCAGCACCCCCTCTGGGGCAAACAGAGAGTAGTTTGACCTGGGCCCAGGGAGAGACAGACATATATCAGATACAATGTTAATGCTGTCCACAATATTTAAATATTTAATCAAAAATGCATCTACAAAACAACGGCCATTTTGTGTGCTTGACTTCTGTGTATGCCTAAAAATGAGCATTTTAAGACCAGAACCCATTGACATTGTTTGTACCTACAATTGTTGGTGTAAACAAGCACACTTAAAATACCTCCATTATGTTGGTGTGTTGGTAGAATTCTATCTCATATAAAACCAATGCTATCCACATTGTTAAATAGCACTCAAGGTAAGTGAGCAACTGTGTTTTTTTTATAATGATTAGAAAGTAGAGAGACAGGCAGGTACAGACGGACAGTCAGACAGACATACTCGATGCTGAAGAGGAGTTTCTCCGTGATGCCGAGCAAGCTGCTCCCTACGGCCATAACCAGCAGAACCAGACCACAGAACACGTGGATGGGGAGATACGAGGCTCGCAACCATGACGACGCAGTAGGAAACAGGAAGAACATCAAACCCATCACCCACTATCAGAAGTAGAGGGGCCAAAAAGTGTTATCGTTACACACATTACACTTGAGATATGTATTATGTATATACTGTGTGTGGGTGTACCTGTATGCAGAATAAGACTAAGGTAGCCATGCCGCACCAGCTGTGCAGAGAGTACATGTCTGGAATGTTTGCTGCTCTGTGGAAGTCAAACACAGCTACAAAGCCTACACACACAGAGAGGGAAGCAATAATTTAGGTATCTTTTTCTCCCAGTTTCTGACACTAGTATTACTTTCTTCACACTTTGACACATGCACATCTCACTCACCTATGATGCTGATGATGAGGGCGAGCAGGTGAATGATGCCATGGAGCATCTTTACGTTCCTCTTTGCCTCATTTCGAAACACTCTGTAGACCAGGATGGCTGGAGAGAGAGAGAGAGAGAGAGAGAGACAGAGAGAGAGAGAGGGGTACATTTTTCAGTATTTTAACACATACTGACACCAACGAGTTTATTACAGTCACAGCTTCTCAGTTGTGGTCCCGTGTGAAGCTGAGGCATCAAATTTACTCATTCATTCAAAAGAAAAAATTTCACCAAGAACAAAAAGTGGTTTCAAATCAAGGGGGATAGAGGAGGACTATATATATACACCATTCAAGCAAAAATATTCAAAATAATAAACCCAGATATTTTTTTACACTGTGAATGACTGCAGGAAAGTACACCCAAATAATTATATTATAAAATTTTCTGATGATACTGCGATTTTGAGCCTTCTCCACAGGGACCTTTCTGTGTACCACAATGAGAGCCACCTTTATTATCTGGTGTCAAAAACACAGGACATGGTGCCACTGGTCGTCAGTAACAAGAAAAGCACACAGGTGTCCACATAGACAACATTCTTTGCTGGAAAACACACACTGATCACCAATAGACTGAAGCAGAGGCTGTACTTTCTTTTGGGACTTTACAGAGTGAGCAGCCAGATCATGCTGATGTTTTACCGGGAAAGCATCATCAGATATGGAATCACAGCACGGTTTGGCAACTTAACAGTGCATCTGAAAAGCAGGCTGGCCAGAACGCACAAAGTAGCTATGAGGATAATAGGGAGGACAGAATATGAGCCCATACAGAGTCTGTAGAGTGTAAATCAAACAGACGGAAGTTATCGTTCGGCCCAACCTCTATCTAGCTGCTAAACTCTAACACTAAATTGTAGTGCAAAAGGGCAATGTGCAATAAATAAACCAGCACCCTTGCATTCAATACCATTGAAAATGGATGGGGTCATCCCATGTGTGAGACAACAAATAAGAGACATTACAGCACACGTAGAAGGTGTAAAGAGGCCTACAGAGAGCACACATGCTTCATGCAGAACCTCAAGCTGTGTTTCCTTTAATCGGAGCAAACAGTTGAACTCTATACAAATGCTTATTGTGTTCAGTTTAAATCCTTTCTTTCAGCCACCTGTGCCAGCAGCTACACACCATTCCCACTAAGCAGCTTCTCATTGTTTTTGCTGATTAAGTGCAGAAACAGATTGCAGAGAAAAAAGATTAGTGGTCAATTGTATCCACATTAGAGTGGACGCGATCACAGCGAATCAGCTTTGAGCTGTGTGTGTGTGTGTGAGGTCCCCCCTCAGGGTGTTTCCATCTCTTACTAACCCCCCTGTCTGTCAGTCTTCGCCTAATCTCCAGCTGACCTTTGCTTTTATCGCTCTAATGCAATCTCGCTCTGTACCAGACAGCTGTGAACCAGTATAACTGATCTGGTTACTCTCATTAGCAAAAGTACCCAGAGCTGCAGGCGCGAAACAGAGAGGATGAAGGACAGCGACATCTCCGTTGGTCTTTATTTCTGGGACCACAGATATCGGCAGGATTTACGGCAGCGTGAGCAGGCAGCACGAGAAAATACATCATGGAAAATGTGGACGGCAGCAATTTTGGATCGATTTAATTTAAATTCTGTAATATCGATTCATAGGGCATGAGATCAATTTTTCCCCATGAAGGTTTTTTTTTTTTACCCATGAAGTTAACCCCAGTAGTCTCGTGCGTGATGACGCAGCAGCGCGTTTACGTCAGGTTGACGTT